GAGTGGCTAGCACACAATACGAAGCACGGACCCGACATCATTGCCTTTGCAGGAGTCGGTATAGCAGAATCCATGTTTGCTTATTGGGGAACCTGGGCATGATCCGCATGTCCACGAATTCTGACGCATGAGTTTTTCATTTTGCACATTTTCAATTCCTCAAATCCGTGATGCGTGTTTTTGCACTTGACCCATTTTGAATCTCAAGAAATATGTGTCTGCGGATGCGCAGCCACTTTCGGTTTACCACCATTCCGACCTTTGCAATCGTGTGTGCTTGATCACCTCGAAGACATGCCGATTCTCGACATGATCTTTGGACAATCCAGCACTGCGGCTCCTTCGCCGAAGCCGCTGGTGAAGAGACGGGCATCCTTTGAAGGAATCCCCTGCTCGTGATGAGGAAGATGAGACATCCGACTGCCCCATGGAGCAGGTCGCCGATGAGAATCCATCCGCCTCTCAACAGCCAGATAATGTCAACATGGAGCAGGTTGATTATGATCGAGATACCGACAACGATGATTCAGATGAAGAAGGGCAACCAGGAAATCCAATGCCGAAGGCGATGCCACATCCGAAACTGGTTCCGATGTCACCACCACCGACACTGAAGCTTATGTCAAAGATTAAGCCAGCACCAAAGAACATATTGGATGAGGAGACAGAATCCGACAATAATCCTGGTGAACTCTCACATCCAACGATCGGTGGTATGTACCAGACGGATCAGATACCGACATCTGCCTCCAGAGAGCATCCGTACATCCAGGACCTTTCGGGAATTCTCGATTCCTCAACTTCGTGTACGAATACTACAAGGAGTGCTCAACCATCCTCGAGATGAATCCGGACTTCCACTTCATTCCTGAGCATGAACGACAACATGGAGTCAAGGTATTCTGGTTGAGAGCCAGATTCAATGATTACTGGCAGCCAATGCTTCAAGGTGAAGGCCAACACACAGAGAAACAATACATGGACTTCATCAAGAAGGTCTACAGCATTTGCTGCTATACCAATGCTCAGCCAGAATTTTTCGGAACCGACATCATTCCGATGGTATGTCACAACCGCCATATTGATCTCGAGAAGACCGTCCAGAATGTTGAACAGGTTTGCAAATATTTCAACATGGATCCATCCAAGGCAAAACAGATCACCGACCTCATCCTCTGGCGAATCGAGCGATTGAGCAGATTGTTTTCCGGATGTTTTCGACATGACCCAAAGCAAGGCCAACACAGAGAATGCAAACGACAAGTGGACATGGGTCCTGATGGATCCGTTGAGCTCTACGATGCATTGACCTGCATTACGCATGCAAGGAACTTCATGGGCAATAAGCCAGGACTTCTCCTGATGGCTATGTTCCCGAATTATGGAAAGGCACATTTCGAGATTGCGTTCGTGTATCCATCCGTGGACGGGTCATACAATGAGTGCAAGGCAAGCGGAAACATTGTTCCAAGAAATCGATGGATCGACAACCTCACCTCTAGATCCGCATACGATGCAGTCCGGCCTAATGGCAAGGAATTCCTCAATGATCCCGATATGGAGTTCTACGTGAGATGCAACAGCGGTCATACACGACAAGTCGATCTCCAATCTTTTGGACGACCCCTGTACTCCGAACAGAAGAGTGAGCCTCGCCAAGAAGAACCGGACTATGATCTTCCAACGGAATCCATTCCTCCAAGTCCGCATCCGTCAAGATCCGATGCGCCCCATGAAGACGAAGGCACAGCTCAGGCAAAATCCAGAATGCGAAGGCCGGCACCACAATCCATTGAAGAAGAGAGAAAGATCAAGCCGTTCGCGAAGAAACCCATCACGTTCATGTTCCATGCAACATATGGAGAGCATTTGATCAACATCATGGAGCACGGGCTGAAATCTGGGAGATCCCAGTAAAACCCTTCGGGGAGAGTGCACATCCACATGGCATGCATCGACGACGTTATCCTTGATGACGAAGCGTCAGAAGCAGCATTGACACATGTGCCAACAGGAAGAGATGCATTGTTGATCCTGGCATTCCTCAAGGACCAGGACTACGCCATCCGACTCTCCGAAGAGCGAACAGCATTGACAGAGCAAACCATCGAGGCGAGGAACATTGTTACAGCATTTGACCCCGAGGGAAACATCATAATGAGTAACAACTGGATCATGAAGAAAAATCTCGGTCGTGAAGACATTGAGATGTACACCAGCAAGATCCAAGAATTCGCCGATGCCTTCTTCAAACATGTGAATAACGACCACCAAAACAAGGGAAAATCCGATAAAGATACATCCACAGAGACCAAGAAGCGACGGCACTCCACCGATCAGGACGAAGTTGAAGAGCAGAACATGGAACCCTCCGAAAAAAAAAAGATCCGTCAAGCCGAAGGTCACCATGGAGTATCACACTCCCGAGAATCTACCTTAAAATAGACATGAGCAAGAAGGACGCCGAGGAAGAGCTCGTGGAGACCAAAAGGAACTTCATCCGCTTCATGGAGAAGTACAACAAGGATCCAAAGAGAGCTCATCCTAAATTGACAGAATGCGAGAGAGCCTCATTGGCACGCGTCGATCCAGATGTCAACCTCGAAGAAGAAGAGTTCTATTCCCACCATCGGGGAGAATGTCCAACCATGGACGAGTACAGGAAGGCACAGCCAGTATCAGGATACCCGATTAAGCTTCCACTTGGATTGAAGAAGTGACAAACCAGAAGTCATCCGAGCATTTGCCGATATCCTGGGATCGCTGATGCAGCCGACTGACCGTTCCCCTGTGGACCATCTCAAGACGCATGAGTTCACCTCATCCCTGACAATCAACATGCTAACTATGAACCATGGAAACCTCACGAGGAATCCAAAGCTGGACAGCAAGGAGGTGTACAACATGGCAATGAAGGACCGACCAATCGTGAAGATGATGATGCAGAACAGCGAACACATCTTATGCCTAAATGAAGCAGACGCATTCCTCAGTCCTCAAGATGAGAATCCAGGGAACTCATCAAGACGTTCATCCGGTTTGGGTACAAGGGCATCGTTATCAAGCAATGGTCATCCAGACCAATCGCATGCTTTGTACGCGGCGGACCTTCCGCAAGAGTGGAACTATTGGCACGGCACATTTCCACAAAGAGTCAGAACTGGGGAACCACATTCGGGATGTTCAGATGTTTCTTCGGAACCGAGGAAAATTGCACTGATCCTGAATACGACATTCCGACCTCGGACTGCCTAGCAACTACGGGAACATCCATGTTCACTGAATCCAAGAAGTACATTGGACCGAGATTGCCACCACGCACCACTGTCCAAGGACACGGGCGTAACAAAGAGATTGTCGTTCTCCACATCGAGCAGGGTGATGAGTATCGTGGTATGCTTCCAAAATCATCCAACAACCCACTCCTCGAGTTTGACAGCCGCCACGTAACGAGGGCAGACCTCCCGTTTGCTACCATTGGAGTTTTTCACATCCATCCATCAATCAGCCATGGAGCAGCACGGGAAGATCATCAGAACGAAATCATGCCACTCGTGACATTGTACCAATGCGATGCGATCACCGGATACGCCAACAAATCCGCGAATACCTACAGCAGACTCCAGCACGTCTTCAATCCGGCCAACGGTCTCATGAATATCCTCATGAAAGCATATCAGAGATTGTGGAATGAAACGGAGAATCTTCCACTCGTGGACAGAATGGAGTATGCAATGGAGACTTCATGCACCCTAAAATCCATCGTCCGTCATCACCTATACATGAAGACTGGATCAGGGTATGACCGAACATTCCCAGATGTTGTGGTGACTTTCGTGTTTGGATGGGGCAAAACGAATATCCAGCAGGTTTTCCGGAAGGAAGAGATGAACGCCATGAAAGATGAACAACTGGAAGCAATGCGGAACGATCCGACGTCTGCCATTTTCGACTATCAGGTCTCATCCGCGGAACGTTTCAAGCACGTGAACAACGATATGTTCATGAATGGCTCTCAAGATTCCGACTCACACAGTCCGCTGATGGTCTACATCCGCAGCAGATCTGCCGCCAGGCAACGCAACTTTGAGAGATCCAAGGAGCACCTCAAGAAGAAGCAATCCTGGACTCAGCAAGAGTACAAGGAGCAATGGAAAGACTATGGCGACTCGACCTGGAATGATTATGGAGACTATGGCAGTCAATCCGACAGCAGCCGTCGGTGGTACCGTTGACCACCTGATGAAGCAGCCACCTTTGGCACTTATTCGACCGACTGAGAAGACTCCCACGATCGGCACTACGAATTTCAACCAAATTGATCCTCACCGCCAACAAGACTATTCAGTGAGAGATCAATAGTTTCACATCCGTCCCGCATGTACATAGCGTTGTGCATCACCTTTTCGATACATCTAGGTATCTCACAGAATCAGTACAGACTGTTTTCCATTTTGCTCACATGACAAATCATCCGCCAAAATTGGATGAATCATTGTAACAATACATGGCTACGGCACTTTCAAGTATGGCTACGGCACGCAAGGCCAAGAAGCAAATCATACAATTCGGTGTGAAAGGTCAAAAGAAATTTGTGTCTGTTTTGTGTTGCTTTTTGTTTCACATTGACCTATTCACACACTCCTCTTACATGATGGCTCAAGGCCCTTCAAGTCATTTGTACAGTCACTCGACTCATGGCACATTGATAAAAAGGCTTGCAGACCGCTTTACAGGTATCACAGTCAATACAAGCCACCAGGGACAATCCATCCTCCAATCCTCCATATTGGCATATTGGACTCTCTCCGGAATAGATCCAGGGACCAAATCAACGACCTCTACTACCACAGGGTACCAGTTCCCTTCTGGGATAGGCACCCCGGCAGTGGGCCTCAACCCCCCCCCCCCCGCCCCACACACACATACGGGCCATAGCTCGCGCGTCGCGGAAACCGAAGCCCCGAAGCCCCGGGCCCCAAGGCATCGCGTGGCATCGCCTTCATGGCTTCACGGCCCAGAGAGCCGGGCGCCGCCACCTGCGGTCTCGATCCCGAAAAAAAACAAAAAAACACAGCCCCGTTTTAGAGGGGTTGAAAGGGAAACCCGACATAAAAGAACGGTATTTTGGAGGGGTTGAAAGGGACAGCCAACAACCATGCTGCTTTTGGACGGGTTTTTCAAGGGAAACCAACACAGGAAACCGGTAAGCCATTCTGGCAGGTCGCCTATTTAAGATAAACCCATTCTTCTGGGTGTTCCAACCTTTAGGCCGTAACATGTCCAAGCCGAACTTGGACAAGGCTTGCCGGGAGCTGGCTGGGCAAGTGTAACCAAATACATCCACCTTTCACCACGCTCTTCTAAAACCGGAACCCCGGACATCGCGGCGGGGGTCAAAAGGAATCCCTTAAAAGACAACAGCACCCGCGCTACAGCAGCTGAAGGTGGTGAACATGGACTGTTGCCAACGAGGTGTGCATTGTTGCATCGCACTCTTCACTAGGAATGCCTCAGAGAGACACTGAATTGAAGCCCCAGCGCCGCCTTGAAGTTGGCAGAAAGCCCAATGCGGTTGTAGCGCCCCAGACTTGTGCCCACATTATCGCAGATTGAATCTCAGTTGCGCTTGCACCTCGCTGCTGTCTCCGCCTTCTTCTGGATTTCCCCAGGTCACAACAGCCCCAGATACAAGAATGGCAGCAAAAGCACCGCCAGCTGCGTGAATGTGCTGGACATTCCTTAGCTCCTCTTGCACCTGGCTGCTGTCTCCACCCGAACCTGGACGCCCCCAGGTAACAACATCCCCAGATTCAAGAATGGCAGCAAAAGCACCACTGGCAGTTGCTTGGACGTGCTTCACGTTCCTTAGCTGATCCTGCACTTGGCTGCTGTCTCCGCCATAATCTGCAACACCCCAGGTGACAACAGCCCCAGATTCAATCATGGCAGCGAAAGCACCACCACTTGATTGGATATGCTTGACCCTTTTGAGCTGATGTTGTACCTTGCTGCTGTCTCCGCCTTCTCCTGGAGTGCCCCAGGTAACAACATCCCCAGATTCAAGAATGGCAGCAAAAGCGCCACCGGCAGTTGCTTGGATGTGCTTCACGTTCCTTAGCTGATCCTGCACTTGGCTGCTGTCTCCGCCATAATCTGCAACACCCCAGGTCACAACAGCCCCAGATTCAAGAATGGCAGCAAACGCACCCCCGGTAGTTGCTTGGACGTGCTTGACGTTCCTCAGCTGCTCTTGCACCTGGCTGCTGTCTCCGCCATACTCTGCATCGCCCCAGGTGACAACAGCCCCAGATTCAAGAATGGCAGCGAAAGCACTGCAAGTTGCTTGGATGTGCTTGACGTTCCGGAGCTGCTCTTGCACCTGGCTGCTGTCTCCGCCTTCGCCTGGATCACCCCACGTTACAACATCCCCAGATTCAAGAATGGCAGCAAAAGCACACTCAGTTGCTTGGATGCACTGGACGTGCCTCAGATGCTTTTGCACGTGGCTGCTGTCTCCGCCTTCTCCTGGATTGCCCCAGGTGACAACAGCCCCAGAGTTAAGAATGGCAGCAAAAGCACGCCCAGCTGCGTGAATGTGCTGGACATTCCTCAGCTTCTCTTGGACTTGGCTGCTGTCTCCTCCCATGTCTGAACGACCCCAGGTGACAATCTCGCCCCTGTGGCCATGCCAAGCAAATGCCTTGTAGGTGGCTGCCAATGTGCCTAGCTGCGCAACCGCATCCACCACATCCCCATCTTGCAACCCGGCATCACCCAGCGTGGCGTTCAAATCGAGCCACCGGCCTTTTGCAGTGAGCTTCAAGCGGCGCTGGAAATGCTGCTGTGCTGCAGCCAGCAGCTCGCTGATGGGCGTTGCCGGGAAGATTTCTATGCAGCAGCCATCTCCATTGGGCAGGTGAACATTCACCTTCATGGCGCAGGAAGGTGGGTGTTCTAAATTACCAGGCCCTGTCGAACGCCTTTTAACCGTTTGCGAGGGTTTCATCCCTTGGACACATCCATGCTGGAAAAACTCATCGGGTCTTGATCGGAGTGGTGGATCCCTGCGGGCTTTGGAGAATTCTCTGCTGGATGGGAAGTTGAGCATGTTGAGTTGAATGCCAACCAATCACATCTCCGGCTAGAGCAGCTTGAGTCACAAAGTGCCAGGTAGATATCTTCAAGGGTCCTTACAGGGGAAGGGCCCATAACCTACCCACACGCATAAGCCAGTAAAGAAGATTACCAAAAGCCCTTGGTAAGGATCTACCACTGACAGCTTGCGCACAATTTGCCGTCAGTGTTGATTCTCTGGGATTCTGGCTTGGCTGATGCTTTTTGCATCGCACTTAAATTCAATTTACTCAATGAGCTTCGATTCCAAAGGCTTCTTTTCCCGTCCAAACGTACTGCGTGTTGTCCGTCCCGTTGCAACGGGAGAAATCGCGTATGCCAAATCTGGCAGATCGCTGCTTGGCAGATATCTATGTGGAGAAACGTCACACCCTCGGCAACCTCGCCCAAAACCTGTGGTCCGCCACCTTTTCTCGAGGCTTTCCTCGCCACGGTGCCTAGTCAACAAATAGTATTGCCAAGACTTTCTCTCAGATTCCCGGTGCCTAATTTAGTATTGCCAGGTTTTACCCAACAAAAGCTTGACATTCAAGAAGGCCCCCCAAACAGGATCAATGGCTCCCCTGGGCACCCCCCCTTTGTGCGACTGTTTCGGCCCGCTTTTCATCAAACAACGTGCATTTTAAATTTCATGGTTTGGGGACTGCGTCCAAAGGTGAGTTTCCTAGAACTTGAGCCTCTAAGCTGGGAAGGACATAGATACACAGCCCTTTAACAGTAAAAGACTAAGGCTTTGATACATGGTATGTGTTGTGGATTTGTGTTTGAGCCGAGGAAACTTGACAGAATTCAGGGTCCCGATGTTAAACAAGGTGCCAAGTTCGTTTTGGGGTACGGAACCAAACCAAGCAAGTGATGATAGGGTGTTTTAGGCCCTTGTGTCATACCACGCCCCGCCGGGTTGGCAAGAGACCTAAAACATCGGTGAGCGTGATGCAATGATATGCGAGACAAGCAAGAGAGAAGACAGGCCGGGGTCACGACAGACATGATTCGAAAGACTAGACAACAAAGAGAGAGCGAGAGGGCATCATAGAAGGCAAGGCCGAGCAAGAATTTGTGGTGAAAGACAAAACGGAGACAAGAGCGATGTCACAGCAGACTGGGAGACGAATGGGAGACAAAGGGAGACAAGAGGGAGGCAAGAGAGGCCTGTCACAACGAAGGAGGCAAAACAGGCCGGCATCACAGCATCTGGCATCAGCGGAGAGACCGGAAGGGAGACAAGTCACAGAATCCACGGGGGAGACAAGATAGGCTGGCGTCACAGCATTGGGCATGATTGGAACACTAGATTGGGAAGAGGGATGCAACACGGAGACAAGAGGGAGACAAGACAGGATCTGGCATGACTAGAAAGAGTGGGAGACAAGAGGCGTCACAGCATTGGCATGATTAGAGAAACTGGGGGACAAGAGGGAGACAAAAGGAAGATAAGAGGGAGGAGCCGGTGTCGAACAACCTGGCATGAGCAGAGAGACTGGGAGATGAGAGGGAGACAAGAGGGAGACAAGACATGGCCATGAGCCGTCCGGAGACGGAGACAACAGGCCGGCGGAACAGCATATGGCATGATTAGAGAGACTGAGAGACTCGGAGACAAGAGGGTGACAACACACAGAGCCGGAGTCACCAGAAGACAAGGGGAGGCTATCCCAGCCTTCAGCTGACAGCCGAGGCTCGGAGACAGGAAAACAAGTGGAAAACATGACCCTTGAGCCAGCATCACACTTTCCCATTCTTGAAACCTCAAGTTGGAACCCAATGCTTCGCGTTTGGGGAATAAATAAATAAATATATATATATCTATATACTAACTAAAAACATTTCAGCAAATGGAAGAAGAAAGGATCACTTCTGATTACTCCGTCCAATTCTTCAGGGCCCCTTGGATGAGCCAGATCTCGTCTGCCAATGGTCGCTTAGGCGATGGATTTGCAAAGTCCAGAGTGCCCACCAATTGACATGGAACCTGACAGGGGCTCGGTCCTGTTAAGCGGAAAAGAACATGACCAAGTTCTTTCTTTAGAAAGATGGTCTTCCAGGAGGCTCCATGATAATTGGTGGAAGGGAATCTAAAACAAGTCGGCATGATGTCTCAATTGGCCAAAGGAAATGTACATAAAAGATGTTCAGTATTTGGGTATATGCCGAAATTGGGGACCCTAAAAACGGTGGCTGTCCTTTTGATTGACCTGGTGTACCAGCCCACGTTAAGCATAGACACAAAAGAAACTGGTTTTGAATTGGAGCCCCAAGTCTTTTTTTAGGGGACCCCCAAACATGTAGTTCTCCTTCTGGTGTCCCGAAAAAGGAAGAAGGGTACCAAATCAAAAAGAGAGACACCCAAAATGATTCCTTTTTACTTTCCCAGACCAACCCCAGAAGGTCAACCGTTCAACACATTTGGCTCGCAAATTCCCACCCTCTTTAAAAAAATAAAAAATAAAAATAAACGTCCGTAGAAATGAGTATAACTTCAGTGCAACTTCTGCTACGCAAGTGACTCTGGCGTAACTTGGGCGCCGTCTGGCCACGCAAATCGTGCATGGACGGTCCTGAGGAAGCTTGCCGCCGCAATTAAAGCACCCCCCAAAGGTTTTCCAGATCGCCACGCCCCATGCCACCAAATAGACCTAAACATTTTTCTGTACCCCCGAAATCGACCAGGAAGTCGTTGACCCAATCTTCTACCAAGAAAAGACCTAACCTAACCAAGGGAAACCCCACATTTAGTGCCAACGAGTCCCAAAAAAACGCCAAGCCGGAGGGACTGGAGCCGCCTCTGCATCGAAGTCGCCTCCGAGGCTAACATGGGTCTCTCTCTCGAGGGTATCCTTTTTGGGGTGAAGTGGAGGGGTTGGTGGGGTATGGGGTATGCGGGAACCTGCAACAAAGGGGCCCAGAGGTGAAGTGGGAGACACCTCTTTCTTTCAGCTTCTTTCCGATTGGTGGTTTGGAGCCCGGTGGTTTGCTGATTAGGAGGTGTCCCAATTACCCTTTTACAAGAACCAGGGTTCAAATCCAAATCCAAACCACCAATCTAAACCACCAATTGGGTCTCTTCAACCCACCCTCTCGATTGGCACCCGACAGAAGGAAGATGTGGCGTTTATTGACCCACTATTCTCACGTAGCGCGTTTCTTGCAGGGGATCCTTCCCACAAAAGGGCCCAGTGTCTTTTCGTTCGCCCTGGTAACACAATCCCAGAAGGTACCAACCCCACAACAACACACATGCACAAGCGCATTCCGCAAGATGCGGCGAATGCGCCACGTCCAACAGCGCCCCCTACAACCCCCGTTTCAACATCAAACTAAGAGGAGACTCACCTTGCATTGGCCTAAAGGGTGATGTTTAAAACCAGCACAAGTATGCAAAGGGGGGTGATATGGTGTCCAATCAGCATGGCCGTGGAGTAGATTGGATTGGCCTTGCGGCGAAAAGGCCCCTGCTTTTGAGACATGCCAGTGTGGCTCCGGATGTCGAGCGGGATGGCAACTCGCATCCCGAACCGAGTGGCAAGGCTTGCAATGCTTCCCAACCCACGAGCCCTTTTGACTGTTGCGAGCCTCTAATTCCTGCTTGCAAAGCGTTCCGCAAGTCACACGCATCTATTAATTTGCGGGGATCCGTTGCTTGCCCCGTTGCACCTGCCCCCATTTTGGACCCCAGCGCCGCTGGTTGTCCGTTTGGAAGCGGGTCAAAAGGGGTCAATAGAACGAGCTGAGACAAATCCTTGTCTGTCCGTTCCAAGAGACTTGGCCACTAGCAAATCCACCAGTTCCGACGCTGCCGCGAACCGCCCAGCATTTCCCCCCAACGTGAAAATGAATCAACTTGTTCGCTGCGGCCTGCCTACATGCCTGGACAAACGCCTCGTTTCGAAAGTCCGCAATTCTTTGTGGTTCCCGAAGTGACCCTCACTCATTGACAAGAACAACCTCTCTCGTGCAACGTGACTTAAATCCACAGCCGCAAGGGAAACGCCACTAGGCAACCGCAGGTTTTAGTCCTTGGCTCCATTTACCAGGGCAACCCATTTTGGGGGTACCCCATTTTTTGACAACCACAGCCATGGCCGAAGCGTCCTTGACAAGCTGGGCAAAACGCCTCGAAACCGGACTCACGTGTCCGTGTCCAGGGCATTTTCAACAAGTTCTGGGGGGAACTGAACATCTTTTTATTTCAACTGAAAACAAAGGCAAAACGTTTCTGACTTGTATAAAAGCTGAAACAATTGTGGCAAGCCATACCTCCAAAATTTACCCCATGCCTTGGGCTCTCAGGGACAAAATGCGACCCTGCCAATCCACTTTTTGCCATCAAAACAGCACCCTACGAGTACTAAGGGGGAACTCACCACGAATTGGCAAAACACCTGGTACGCGATCATTTAAAACCCTGCGCCTCTTGTAAGTGTTCCTGAAGCGAAAAATGGAGACCTACCATCGTCGCTTCCACTTCTGACCCCCTGCCCCGCTCATAAGCCGCCAACCGGCAAAGGACAACGAAGCACATATCACGAGCATGGACCTGAGAAAACAAACAATAGCCCAAACAAGACATCAGCCAGAGACACTAGGGATATGGGCTAAGAATGAAGAAGGGTAAGTTAGGTTGGCTTCGCGGGGAGGAAAAAACAAACAGGGACCTCAAAACAACAAACTGGACAACAGCATGAGCCGAGAACGGCGAGAGGCAATGCACCCCACCTGCACCACCATAGCCGCCGCCGCCGCCGCCAGGATAGCCAGGCCTCAGCTGTCAGCTGGTCTGGCTAAGACCCGCAGAGGGGAGGAAGTTAAATTATAACACATGGTGCTGTCACTGAAACCCAAAAAAAAAACACGTTGGGCTTGTGCAAATTTGATGTTTTGCAAATTAACATGCAAATGCCATTTGTGTGCAAATTGCTACTGTTCGCAAAAAGAAGCAAAAGGAATCCCCTCGTAAAGAACCTTCATGATGGGTAAAATCGAACTAAGCACACGTGAGCTCGTTAGAACTTGCCCAGATCAATGGGTCCAAAACAAAGGCCCAAAGAAGCTACCATTTGAAGTTGGAAAGCACCCAGCAGTCTGAAAGTAGCAGCCCTCAGAGTTACCGAAATCAAAGGGTTGGGTGAAACCAACTGCCAAGGCAAAGTTGCAGAACCTCAGAAAGTTGGTTGCAAGACAACATGGGGTGGTTGAGACATGGAACCTCTGTGCCACTTTGGTGAGGAACTTGCCAGAAATCACGCAGATCGCGTTAATGAACTCACGCTTCAATCTAAGCAGTCCGCAGCAATGCCCGTTTGCATATCAAAGCTGTGTCTGACATCTAGCTGACCGTGTTCCGTGGGAAATGTTGGATCGACAAAATCCTACAACGGTTGGTGGTGGTCTATTCCATTCACAGGGCTTGATGCATCCCAACCAGTGAATATGGCACAGATGCAACTTTTCAAGCGGCCCAACAAGCAATGTCTAAAACTTGCAAATTGGAAAACACAGGGGTCCAATGCGAAATCCAACCCCTACTGCGTGCGAAAATGCAGGGTGTTCAACAACATTCAGCTTAGACCTTGACCCTGTCACAGAATCAAAGGAGTACTTCCTTGTATGAGCCATGGTGGAAATTAGTTTTGAGGGTCCCAAATGTTTGGAATCCCCGTGGGTGTTGCTTGTACAAAACAAGAGGCTTGTTCTGCAATACAAGCTTACCCCCTACTCCAAATACCCCCTTTCTTTAGGGTATGATGTCGACCCTCTACTGAAAAAGTAGGTATTTACCGTGAGAAAAACAAAAAGGTTTTCCAAAAGAAATACACCCTAGAACAAGGCGGGTATTTGGGGTATTTGGAGGGGGCAGGTTGGTGGTAAGCATCCATACCTCCAAAACCCGTACCTGGAAATGCTGAGGACTAAGTTCTGGGGGTGCGACTCGGTTTCCCTGTGAGTCTCGGGGTATGGATGGCAACCAAAAACAACTCATTTCCTGAGACCGGCCAAAAAAGTGGCCGCACTTCTTATTCGCCACTAAAATGGTCTTCCCAAAAGTTTAAAGTCCATGAACTCAAGAAGTGAGGCACTGTGGGATCCCCTTAGCCAGGAAATCCAAATGGAAAGCGCCAGGGCCCGCGCGGCAGCGTGAGGCGCCTTGGGGGGAAGGGCGGGGGGGCCCAGAGAACGCAGGAACGCAGCCCCATATCCGGGAATTTGAGGGGGGGGGACCTTTGGGGAGATGGTGGGCAACTGTTTTCTTGTACCAAGCTTTAAGGACTCGGGCCTTCGACCTTGGGCAACTGGGCTGTGGGTCCAGTATGGAATAGGGAACTTGGGGCAGAGTCCATGGCCCCAAGGACAGACCTGCAGTCATTATGGACATCTGCAACTCACAATCCAGGATTTTTTGCTGCTGCAATCAAGCTGCCACTTTTCATCCCCTAAATGAGGGACTGGTTTAGTCTCGGCTGAGAGGAAGCGCCCCAAATATGTCTGGTCCAAGTGAGAGGCCTGGCACCCCGCCGGACAACCGGGTGTGTGACTAAATGCTTGGACGTCACGCCCTTGTCGAAGAAGTAAGGGAACCCCCCAGAGAACGGCTTCCAGAAGACAAGGTTCCCTAGAAAAAGGTCGCCGACTTGAAACGGAAAAAGAAAGAATGGATGGACAAAATCTTGCACTTATGGATGCACCTAGACCTTCCAGGTGCAAGATCTTGTCTATCAGCCTCAGATTTCGATGCGGCCGTTTATTTGTTGGACGTTCCCTCGCTGGTGGTGAGGTGCAAGGATTGGCCCAACCTACTTCATTACAAAGTAGGTTGCTCAACCTACTGCACTACAAAGTAGGCTAGAACCATGATTGCATATCCACCAGCCACTATCCCGCAGAAGAAAAAAAACATGACCTGATACCCTAAGTGAGCATCCAAATCCCCTTGAACCAAGGTAAGTGCGTGGATGTCCAGGGTTGGGTTAACCTCCCTGTCACACATGTTTAAACTAACTTTGCCCAGAGCCCAGATCACACTCCAAGGCGAAGCATGTTGAACCACCTTCGTTTAAGCACCCTTTCTTTTGGTTCCCCTTTGCAGTTGGGTGAAAGCAAACGGCAGCCCAACCATTTTGGTTTCGTCACCCCCTTTGCCGTCATCGCTTCGCCTCACTCTGAAAAGTAAGTTTTTCAGAGTTTGGTTCAATATTGGTCGACTTCCATATTTTTTGCGGCGACCCCACATGTAGGGAATTGTACATCCTCGTGTTTCCCGTAACGGCTACAACTCCAGGTCCGACCGGAATTCATCCGAGCCGCAGCGTGCACGGCAACTTGCTGCCAGCCGCAGGGTTGGCCGCCTCACGAAAAGCCGGCTGTGGGCCCTGCAGCCTTGTTCCTTGGCCAATTGAGGGTTTCAGGGCCAAATTAAGCTAATTATGTCTTTTTTGCGGCTACCCTTGTGCGGTTTTGAGGCTAAAAAGGGAAACCGAAGGGAAACCAGAACAGGATCGGATCTCTTGTCGTCTGAACACGGCTGCCCCAAGGGCGCGCCGCTTCAAAGGAAATCGGGAGCGAGTCAAAAAGGGCGCGACATGACGCGATTGAATTGGGAAATAGGCTTGTTTGATGTGAGGGGGCACTAAATTAGTCTCACTGTTTGATCTGTTTGGTGTGAGGCCCCTGGACATCCAGACATGGCAGCTCGCTGAAAAGTTCACCGCCCGGCCTCCAGGCGCCACATAGGAGCTTCCAGCTCGAACTGCAACTTCAAACGGCCTGGCCGCAAGCGTTTTTTTTTTTTTTTTTTTCTGGGGAATGGGGGGTGTCTTTCTTTCGGGTGGCTTTGGTAGGGGGCAGGTGGGGGAACCTTTAAAAGGAAACCCGAGATTTTGGCGGGTCACAAGGTTTGAGACAGACCCACAGTTCTTGGCCCCCAAGGAGGAAAAAAAAAACAGGAAATCCAATCGTGGGGATTTGTTTTTTTGAGGGTACCTTGGGGCCATTTTAAACGGGCTTTTTGTGGGGGGAGGGCCGCCCCAACAAAACACAAACGTAATAACGGGCCCCTTTAAACAGCATCTAACAAACGTGTTCCAGTCACATGCGCTACAGGACCATCTCACACAAATGCGCAAAATGTGCACTCTCAGGGCGTCCTGTTTTGGAAAGGAGCGGGTCAGCTTGCTATCAGTTGCCCAGGATGGACAACATGCGACTGTAGGGATGGATCGCACCTTATGAAAATATAACGGGATGAAGCACCTAGTTATGACAGGGCTGAGAAAGGTCGGCTTTCAAGCGAGAAGAGCCAGACCACAAGTTCCGTCAAATCTACACCAGTAACAGCGGCAATGCTAACCCGAAATGAAAAGAAACACACATTGCGGTGGTTTCCTCCAAGAGCAATGAACCCGCGCAAAAACCGGATCAGCGGATCCTCCGTCCGTCATCATGGATCCGCCCCCCCCCCCCCCCCCGGACCAAGGCCTGCCATGCCACCAAGGGCCTGCTTCAGCACGTCCGAGCCTTCGATGCCACGGGAAAGAAGCACGTTCTCCATCTTACCAGTCATGACCATGTCCCAAACCCGGTATCATACCGCAAACGGGGGATGAAACACCGTCATCAAAAAGCATGGGTGTAGGCCATTCGCCTTGCAATAAGGTGCTCGCGAAATGCTTGCGAGGTGAAGCATTCAAGCATGCAACGCTAAGGGTTCCCGAGCAGCCCCCACGAAAGACCGAAGTTCTTGCAAGTCCTGACCCCAGACCCCCTCAGTCTAGCCTTGCTAACGCAAGGACAAACCCAAGCTAGCCTTGAGGCTACCTTTCGTGATTTATCGTCTTTATGTGTTTTCTGGTTTTGGGGGCATGTTGATCTGGAGGCCTGGGAAACCTTGAATAGGCCACAAAGAATGTCCTTTTTGCGAGTTCAGGGATTATTCAGGGCTTCTCTGTGTGTGTGTGTGTGCGTGTTTTTTTTTGGGGTGGGGGGATGCTAAGAGAACCAACAATAGGCTTGCTACCAATCGGAGGGTAGGAGATTAGATTGTGAAGGGAGTCTGAGCATTGAACCAAGGTTTTAGCTGTATGGTCATCTGCTGGAGGCTTGGAATAGCATTGAACGGTTCTAAGGTTCCAGCCTGCACCCAGGGACAATCATGTGTGGCATCCTAGAGCCCAGTTGTTGGAAAACCATTTGTTTACTAGCCCGGGACCAAGCATGAAGCGGAACCGGGGGGCCTGAGGTAACATGCGACTTCGCCGAGCCCAAGAAGAAACAACGCCATTGGGGCCAGCCGGATAGGCTGACATGATTCCAGAAAGTCAAGCCTCAAGCAAGCACAGTGGTTGCCTTTTGACGGGGCCTCCTTCTGATTGAGCACGAGGCGTCATCCAACGACGCCCTTTTGGGTCAAAAGAAGGGCCCCCCCGGCAACAATCCAACGTCCCACAGCCAGAAAAAGGCGAACCGTTTGGATTGACGAACAACTGACCAAGGGGGAAAACAACATTTCAAGCCGATTCGCTTTGAACAAGTGAGCAAAGCACCTCCTCCAAGCACTGGAGCAAATGCCAACTGCGAACCCAACATGTTTGCAGTATCCCGTTTACGTCATTCAACATTTTCCCTACACTACACCCATCTTCCTTGACAGATCGAGTCTCCCAAAAACGGCCTTCAACACACCAAAAGGTTGGGCCGTTGCGCCATGTTCCCCTTTAGGTGACAACCGACTCCCACCTGGCCATGGGTCAAAAGCCCGTACACCCAGTGGACATCCCAAGCCTCACTAAAATAGGTTTTAAAATGGGTGGTGAATTCACCTACCAACCAAAATGGGATCCCACAGCCACAGCCACCTACCCCCCGCTTCGCTTAGCCAACGCCCCGTGCCTTGCAGCAGTGCCCGGCTCAGCACCTCCGGGGCCACAAGCTGCGCCTGGGCGTCCAAGCGGAAGCCGCGCATGACCATGCGCGGTCGTGTGAGTCACAAAAACCAAAAAAGGCGTCTTCAGTGGGTTAACCAAAAAAAGCTAAACTTGCTGTTTACCACCAAAATGGTCTTCGCGAAAAGATACCAAGTCCAGAAATTCAAGGAGCGCGACCCCTGCTCATTTGCTCGCTCGCCCCTAGTTCCATTGCACTCTGCACCTCAAGTTTGTCAGCTACCAGAAATCAACACCTTTGCTGAGAAAAACTTAAGTGAATCAGCGGCTCAGCTTTCTTTCATCCAGCCGGGGCCATTTGAACTGACTGAGACGCTGGGGCTCCAGGCACCGGCGGCGCGTACTTCCAGTAGCTCTGTCGCCAATTCGTCCATGGCGATCGGATGGAGTCGGGTGCTCGGGTGTTGCAGGGAAGTGGATTGAGCCCTTTTGGAAGACTTGCTGAATTCGCCCGGGACCATGGCCGTTGAAGGAGTCTTGGGAGGCAAGGCCATCGTTTGGAGGCTCCTTCTGCCTTCTCACCGCCTTGGGTCCAAGAGGGATTCCACTTCTTTCCAAGTGGGCGTTTCACGAAGGAAAGCGCAGGCAAACCTTTAAACCCCGGCTCATGCTTGAATGTTCCTTACGTAGGCATCGTAGGTTTAAAAAAAAAAAAAAAGTGATCCTCCGAGTGACAGCGAATGGATGAAGAATCAGGGACAACCCCCAAGATCCAAAGCAAGAGCTAGGGGCTGTATGCGCTGATTGCTTGGATGTGCATGCTACTCAGTAATTAGCCTGTAGCTGCTGCAAATGGGGCAACATGGGATGGCGGACACTTCGTCGCAACCTACCTAGGCGATCCGCAGCACCTATTGGGGTTCCAATGATCCTAGACTCGGAAAAACAAAAAACAACTATTTTGTGGCCCACACCCCGTTCCCCCCCCCCCCACACGATCCCCCAGACTCGGGCCAGGTCAAACTCGTTGCTTGGAACCGGTCATAAGTTCCCATCTGGTTCACAGGGGCCAGCGACAAATGCTAACAAATCCCTGTGCATAGCTCCTGGAGGACTGGCAGCACGTGTTTGAAGCGGCCTCTCTGAGGTCCCGTTCGGCTTTTATGATGGGTTCGATGCTTTGACCAGGTTCACTGTTAGGCATCGATGGTTCAGCGTTTCATATATAAGAGGACCTCCAAAAACGACTCGTTTTACCACATCGGGCACCTGGTTTCTGGGTACCTTTTCGGGTTTGTTTGAGGGGGGCCTTCGAAGGAAACCACCCGCTTCGGGGTTTCCACCCTTGCTTTCCCCTTGAAACAACCAAGGGGTAAATACTCACTTTCTAAGCAAACTCGCCTAGAAGGCTTCTTGGAGGAAGAGAAATGCCAGTAAAATAGGCCTCCCAAAAAGATCATGCCCAGAAAGGTACCTCAACACAGAGTGACCACACCCACATGTCGCTGCAAAGCTGCAGCACACATCCGCCACCAATTTCGCGTTTCGCGGAGCATTCCACGACGACTCGCGACTCGCCGCGCGGGCGAGGCGCATGCTTCCGCCAGATCTCTCCACAGTGGCATCAAGCTGGTTGCAATTCCAGGGTTGCCTCAGGGATCCCCTTGGGTGACCTTGTTTCCCCATCAATCCGGGAGTTGATTCTGAGAGCCAAAAAAAGGCTTGAACCTGAAAAAAAAAAAATGAGCCCTGGGCAGCGACACTCAGTTTGCTTGCCACCTTGTGAGCACCTTTGGCCGATGTGAGGCGCATCTTTTGGAGCCTCCACAGCTCAGTTCCTGAGGAGCACTGCCAAAAACGGGTCTCGCAGCTATCAGATCTGTGGCGTGAGGCCAGGGGCCCACATCCGCTTGGAGGGACGGCAAGTAGGCCATGGTAGGTCCGAGCAACTTTTGTCCGACTTACGCGGTTGTGTCTTTTTCAGGGTAACCCATCTTGGTCAACAAAGCCGAAAGAATTGACACTTCCCCCAAGCAAGGCCTGAAGCAAAAACTCTGGAAGATATCCCGTACTCCCAACTGGGGTATCCTCAAGCCCTTGTAAGAGGCTTACACAAGCAAGCGTCTCACCGGAGGTGTCCGTGGACAAAAACATCAACCTTAAGCCTTCATAGGCACCATGAAACATCTCGAGGTTTAGCAACCCTAAGTGAGGCCATGTACTTACCTGCAACTTGATGCAAGCACCCACCATGCAGCTCAAGACTATGGCCTTATCTCTTGGCCATCTGGGGAACACACCAAATAACGCAGTCAGATCTCGTTCATATGGCGTCAATCAGAGCATGGTTTGGGATGGCCTCAGATTTGGCCCATTGACCCCTCACCAAACCTCAACCGTTTGCTCGGTTGCCATCCCTTTGTTTCGTGGACAGGTGGATCATGGAAGATCATTCCTGCTAATTCGAAAGCTCGTCCCGTCCAACCAAAATTGAATTGGCCAGGCATTGTAGGGAATCAGTTTGGGCCTGTCTCAAAATAGGATTCGGACCCCCAAAATGATCGCCTTTCTTTTGGTTCCCCCAAAACTCAACCCCAAAGGAGGAAACCTAACCCCGTTCCAAACCACTGCTTTTTGGACACTTGGGATTTTGCACACGGGAAAACGCAGTTGGGGGAGGGGGCTTGCTTTGGCGACTTCCCACGTTTCCCCCCAAAAGCGGCCTGGTCTCACAATTCACGGCCCAATTCGCTTCGCATCTCACCCCACTGTGCGATGGCCCAGGTCTGCGGCCATGCGATTGTCGAAGCGCATCCTCGGAGCTTTCCGAGTTTCGGATTTGCCAACCCCAAAATGGGTTAACCTTTGGTTTTCCAGCGCAAAGCTTTCTAACCAAAATGGCCCCCTCAAAAAGCAGTTGGGCGGATTTGGGGAACTAAAGCTAAACACATCTCCCCCTTAGACACTCCCATATCCAACCTGTTTTCTCCCTGGAGTTTTGATGGAGTTGGGACTCGCCCAAATCAATTGGACCTGCGAACTTTTTCCCCACTCTTGGGGTTTCGTTCGAAACGGAAGTTTTATGTTTTGGTCTCTCTGGCGGTGACGTTTCCTTGATGTGGCATTTGGCAGCGCAGCTGCCATCCAGATTCAAGTGGCGCATTTGAGTGACCATCCACCCTTCCTCGGGGGGGATTTGGGGAGAGGACAGGTTGCTGCCTGCCAATAGTTTAACCCCAATCTTTTAAATGGACCTCATGGGGGAGGAAGTTCGGGAAAGCGAGGGAGCCTGTGAATCAACTCAAGCGAAAGCAAGGAAGCGAAACAGCTGCAAGCCAATGCCAACTAAAAGGCCAGTAACAAACCAAACAAGTCTGAGACCCCTGTTTTCACCACGCATCACGGATGTCGTGGCTCACAAGTAAATGAAGAATATACCCCGCCAAAGAGACACACCCACTTCAAGTCAATCAAAGATGGAATTGACTTTGCCCCCTCCACACCTGCATAGATAATGCCATAAGTCGACTTCATACAAAAGCCTTTCCATAAAGGACTGTGGCTGAAAGCAAGGTGTGACACACACGGTCTGGTTTCATCATCCCGTTGAACAACGTGCAGGGCGGCTGATGCCTACTTGAGCCCAGATTCCAGATATGAGTTGGGCATGTCTTGCTTGGTGCACCTTCATTTCGGCATGTCTTCTTGACGGTACTCTGAGAAAGCAACCTTTGAACGAAAGCGCGCCCCATTCTGGGACAATTTAGCCCGGGTGGGAAGCCTGTCTTTTGCAAGGGGATGAGACATCGCAAAAACGCTCAACATGGGGTTAGGGGGAAAGCCAAACGGGAAACACCCAAAAGGCGCACAACAATGGACCGGTGCCTCAACAAAGGGAGCCAACAAGCACCAAATTGCCAAATAATAGGAGTCACCTTACCCCCAATTTGTGATTTGCGGGATGTTCAACCAACGTAACAAGCAAGTTACAACCACGGAAGTAGCTGGGGTAACTGGGGCTAGGCCCCTGGCGCACTGGTGTTGAACCGGATCCCAACTAAATGTTTGTCCAAAGCTGGAAGCCCCACAACCTTCAAAACTCCAACCCAAACTAGCAAATAATGGATTGCCTTGGGTCAACAAAGCGGAGTGGGTTTAAACCCCACCACAAGGGTAAGCTTAAGGACCCGTCAAAATGGGTTTCTCCCAAGTTTTCTCATAAGCAGAGTGGGTCATACCCTCACAAAGAGAAACCCAGTCACACAAAAAAAGAAACAGAAAAGGTTTTCCTCATTCCCTTCTCGCCGCCTTCTGCCAAAACGCATGAAGGGCTGGTTCCCCTTGGGCGGCGCCGGCTGAGAGAAGCCCGCCGACCGCGCGCCATTCACTCCAGTCGGGCGTGAGAAAGGACTGAGGTCCCGCCAAGTGTCTGCGTCGCGCCGGGTGTTCCTCCTGGGCTAAGCGAAAATGGGCCGCGGCCGTCTCAAGGCTCAAATGTGGATTTGGGATGCCCTACAGCCCTACAGGTTGAAATGGTTGAGATGGTCCCTATACACCTGCACAAATCAGGATCTTAAAGAGCCACATAGCCACCATAGACCATAGTGTGTATCTACATCCCCCCCAAAAAAGGCTCCCAACCCTCTGCTGTGTCTCAAGCAGAAAAGCTGACCGAATGATTGCATAGATACATAAGTAAATATCAAAACAAGATTGAAAAACAAACCACAAAATGCATAAGAAAAAACAAGTCAAATAAATAAATCAAATAAAACAAACAACCATGTTTCAAGCAAATGATAAGTAAACACATGTTTTACATGTGTATATGCATATATATATATATACATATATACCAATGCATATACACACACTTGCGTATATATATATATATATTTATATATATTTATGTGTGTGTAATATGAGTGGCCAGGCCACGGCGCCCTGAAAGTGTAGGGTAACTGGGCCGCAGACTTCTGCCAGGACCCAGAAAGGACCCAGAAATAGAAGGTTCACCTTTTGGGGCGACTAAACGCGGACCAACATTGGAACCAGAAGATCAAAAGGTCGATTCGCTTTGGGCAACTGAGAGTTATCTGGGCTGCTCCAAGCCTCCGAGAAAAGGTCTAAGCATCATGTGGGTTGAATGAAACAAACCAGGCATTTGTTTCCAAGAGTTCTAAGCCCGGCAACGGTAAGGCGATGGTTTCTTTCCAGGTGGCAGTTGGTGTTCATCGGCTGGGAGGTACTTGAAAATAGGTGATTCTGTTTGAGACCCTGGGCCAAAAGCCAAGAAACCGACATGTAAGCCGGCAAATCCTACAGGAAACTCAAAACAAAACACCAAAACCAATGTGTGGCCCGTTGGGCGGGGTTCGATGCTCAAGCGGGAGGCCCAAATTCACATACTGAAACCCAAATGGGGGGTGTCTTTGTTTGAGGGTATCTTCTTGGGTTGGCTGAAGGGAAACCAATGGAAAAAACACAATTCCCCTTGGGGTCACTG